TCCAGACTTTTCGACCACTTGGAACCCTCAAGTCCTCCAGCAGTGGTGGCGGTGCGTACTGCACGTACACCAGCTGACATCTTTTTGACGCCGAAATCAAACCGTTAGACTACTCGGACTTTGTATAGTCCAATAGTTTAATTTCGGCTTCTAACAGTGTTCAGCCTGGGTCTCAAAAAAAGTTAGTTGTGGGTTCGAGACCCAGGCTGAACACTGCTGTTAGAAGCCGGAAGCAAACCATTAGACTAGTGAGTTAGCGCTGGCTCTAATGGTTTGATTTCGGCTTCGAACCAACGAAGCCGTCGCACCGGGGCCGTGGCTGATGCTGGAGCCCCCTTGGAATCTTGATGCCTGCCCCCATTTGGCGGTCTTCCTCGCTAGCAATGCTGTTTAGCGTCCAGTTAGTAAGCAACAGCGCAAACAACAGAACCGACCCTGGTGGGAACCTTTTGACGTAGCGCAGCGGTGGCGACCGACCACCCGTCGTGCTTGAACTCCACCTCTCTCTTGGGTCCTACAGCAGACGTAGTTTTACCGTGGTTCCGCAGGGCTGCCTTCTTGCAGAGCTGGCCCCTTTCTCGTCTCAACAACAAGGGCGGCGGGTTCTTGTCAGGGTTTGATTGCCAAACGTGTCGAAGCAAAGGTCGGCATCGTTCGTGTTGTGGCAAAGTGTGCAGCAGTAGTGACTCCCAAGGAACGAACGGTGTCGCGATTCTGATTGCCAAGAGACGTCGTTCAGGCCGGAAATGTTGGGATGAGGCCTAGTATTGGCGGTTGGGTGGTTGTTGAATAGGCGGTAAATCGGACCGTCCAACTCAGTGCTCTTGACAGAAAAATACTCCCATTCGCGTTTCCCGTAAGCCCTGCCCATTTTTTTTCTCGTCGGATTCAGTTGTGCTAATCCTGTCGGTTCCCCATTCTCTGAAAATTTTGTGTGTGCTTTGCCGTGTGTCTTTCATCTCCGTGACGAAAGGGCCGAGTAGATCAAGACCGGCTCAGGCATCGTTCAAGATTCAGCCCAAGATGACCAAGTGGGAGGTGAAGGAATACCTAACCAAGATCTACAACGTGCCGGTCAAGAAGGTAAGGCGGGTCCCTGTTGAACCAACGACAGCAGCAGCTAGTCAATGCAGGGCTAACCCACTTTGCCACGGATCCGTTCGCAACCTCAAGCTTGGAGTATTCGGCAGCGGGAATCCGGGAGCTTGAGAAATGCAGCATCCGCCGGCTGGAGCTCGTAAATTGTTTCCCCAAGGTCGCCGCCCCGGCCGTAGCCTCGGGGACGTGTGAACGCCAGCGGATACGCAAATTCGTTCTTTGGCGAAAACCAGCAAGGAGACGAGCAATCAAACGAACCAACCACCGACCCACCGCCCCCCACAGTTTTGTGTTCCCTATTGCTCGGTATTCCCCCTGATTTCACGCTCGGGCCCTTGCCGCTTCCCTCGTCAGGTGATGACTCAAAACTTCGAGGGAAAGCGCAAGCGAATAATGGGGAAGCGGTCGATCGTGCCGTACAAACGACCAAACTTCAAGAAGGCGATAGTCACCTTCGCAAGCCCGCAGTGGACGCCGAACAAGGGGCCGCCGTCGCTGCCTAGCTAACTCGCCACCGATTGTAGCCCAGTCGTAGCAAGCGTTTGAGGCTGGTGCTTGGGTGTGTGTATGCACTTGATTGGGGTTACCAACCCGAACAGCAGTGGTGTCCTGCCGACCGCCCAAGTTTATGAAATGAAGTACGAGGCGCGCCTCCATGAGTATCAACGAGTGCTGACTGCGTGATGCCACTATTTGGTATGGCTATTGCGGTGTCGCCATGTTTGGCGCTATTTGTAAACGGAGGCATTGCTTGATTTTGGCCGTTGCCAGGTGGGGTCTGACCCTGCTAACCTAGTGAGGGGGGCGGCCTTCGCTGCATGCTTTTCTTTTTGTTGTTGGGTATCCAGACCGCGTTGTGAACGAAGGCATTGAACACGTGTTGCAGATTTACTGCTGTAGTCTGTGATTTTTTATATATATCGTAGCATGCCTCCTGCGTGTTGCAGGCACCCCGGCTGCGCTACTTGTACAGCAGCACCGGTCCGCCATTCCAGGCTCATTCTGCCAAGAGTATCAAGCTCAACAATCCCCGAAGAAGTAGAAATCAGGGTCGAGACATGACTCACCGGCGGTTCCTACCCTCTTCCTCTGTTGTAGTCTATGCTCGGCGGTGGGGATGAAACAAGAATCCTCGACCCTATGCTAAGGTTAAATGTCGTCGCAGCGGGCCAAGTGTATGTATGTATTTGGGAGCAAGATTTTGTCCGAACACACTAAATCTGCGATCCAAATATGGTCGAAAGGCCTAGCGATCTATACGTACTTGATACTACCTTGGTCCCGCGAAAAATCCAACACTGAGGTCGATACATACGGGACTGACTCTTGTGCGGGGGTCCTTTGCGTAGAACATTCTGGCGCGACTCTTGCAGACCATTTCTACGAAGAGCGTGCTTCGCCTTCGTCTTGGGTGTGGCGGTGGGAGATCTTGTACGGCTCCTGCGGCTTCGTCATCCGACCTTGTAATCATCAATGTACCGTAGTGTTGTTGTAGACACACCAATATTCTGTAATTTGGGGGTTATTCACCCCACAGGCGTTGCGGGTGGGGAAAGGTGAAAAAACATATCGCTTGCGGGGTCCGTATCCGATTCTTTGAACGTGATGCCGTTGAATACAGAACGAACCACAAATACTGCTGTAACGTGCATGTACGCATACCTCACAAGAATTTGGACCCCACCCGACAATTAACACCATTCTCTGTCGGTTTCCTCTCAGGGGAAATGTCTCGTGAGGGTTGCCGAAGACCAACCAGGTATTATTCTTAGGAAAAATAAAACCACAGAAAGACTACCCGTTCGAGATATACCCACAGTCGAAGGGGATGTGTTGGAGTCTTTTCAGCGAGTGGAGGAAAACCGGCTGGTTACTGGACATATTTCGAGTCTGTTTAAGTTTATGCACTGATGATTTATATCAGTGACACCAGCTGGTGCTAAGTACAAAAAATCTTACAGGTAACCCATGTATACTAGTGCCGGGAGCTGGATGAAGGTACTGATACAACATCCACATTATTTGCAAATGGTCCTCGCTCAACACCGCCTGCTGTGTTACGTACTTCACATAGCGCGTAGCACGAGTTTGATAAAGAACCCCGCCTGGGCGCGCACGGAGGTGTGAGCTAACTGATTGGCTCTCTCCGTGCAGCGAACGCGACAGCAGATGGCGAGCAACCGACCAGCCAACCAACAGATCCCTGGATCCCACAAAGATCCCACGGAATTTTGTTTGAATTTATGGGTTGTTCGAAGAAAAAAATGAGAGGAGGCGTTGCTCGGGGAAGAGTCGGCGGAACGACGCTCGCCACTCGCAGACCGTTCTGCTTACAGTGCAAAGCGGCGGCCAGACATCCCCCCACCGCTCACTCTCCTACTGCCTCCTGCTAACATCTACAGGCTCATACGTCATTATCAACCCGATTCTCAAGAAAATGGCAACCTCAGGCCATGCGTCCGGGAGGGATGTTGAAGTGAAGCACGTGACAATCTCGCCAGCAAGTTCAAACCCCAAGCTGGAGTTTTCCCGCAATTTCGAGCAGGTCTTCAAGCCCTCATCATCACTGAGCGGCGCATTCCGGCACCACGAGGCGTTCAACGCAAATTACAGAAGGTAGGGGGAAGGCAGGGTTGTTGGCAAGTGCGTATGCGGTCGGCTTTCCCTTCTCTTGTTCATCGCACGCCACTATATAGTTCAGGAGAGCTTCCGTTATGTCGACGTCAACGTCCACTACAAGCCGCATTTTCAACTCTTGTTACACGGGTGGCCAGAGGCAGGTTGTGCGTAGGTTGGGGCACCAACTACAACCTGGGGGGGGAGGTTGTAGGGAGGTTGCAGCCCAAAGCGTGCAAGTTATCCCGCATCTTGGATAGTGGCGTTATTGCAATCAACACGGTGGGCTGCAAGCTTGAAGAAAGAATGGATTCAAGGTCGAACTCGTCCTCCCAACCTCCCCCCCCAGGTTGTAGTTCGTGCCCAACCTGCCCCTCTGGCCACCAGTGTACGGTTGGTTGAAGAACATCGAATTTTGACGCTGGCTCTATTTTAATACATACTCAGACATGTGTAGAAAGAAAACAACCTTCCCGCCGGAAGTATCTGTTGGGTTCTACCGCCATCAATAGAGGACACCATGAAGAGGCGTAGTGCGTGCTGGCACGATCAAGTTTGCCACAGGAGCTGAAATATCGAAATATCGAAGGTCGATGAAGCCTCTGAAAACAACCCGAAAACTGCGCCGGAACCAAGCGGAATCGAACATTTGTCAAAGCCGTGCTCACCGCCACGGATAGCTACACCGCCACGGACCGTAGGTCAGGAGATTGGGATCAGTGGCGGCGGGCACAAGCAGTACAAGACACTGGATGTTGTTAAACGTTGCGAGTGTAGACCACTAGACTACTGTACTACTACGACCCTTCGATATCACCACCACAGGAGCAGATTTGAGCGCCCCCCCCCCCCCCGCTGCTATTGGTTGTCCTCTAGTGATATTAGTACAAAGCATGAGATACTTCGCATCACCGACCTTTTTTGAGCGCCTGCCGTTTTGCTCTTTCGACTTGGATTTAGAATCGTGTGAGTATTGTGCTTGATTTCAAAGGATGCGTGTGGACGTACACGCGTGAAATGTGTGTTTTGAGCAGCCTCTACTGCCGTCCTGTGCGAGAATGATCAATTCCTGTTTTTCGCGATGCCTCCCAACTGATCTTGTGTGTCTGCGGTGCTTCTTGTGCTATTACTATTGTTTTCAAAATTATTCAACATAACAGGAAGGACAACGGAGCGTACCACATGTTCTTCGCGCGCAAGGCTTTCCTTCCTCTGAACTTGCTCCCCGTTTCTCTTCTCCCTTTCCCTTCTCCCTTTCCCTAAACGTCTCTCTCGTTATCTCACTCGCTCTTTCTCTCGCTCTCCCTTACTAGCAAACTTCCTGGAAAAATCGTTGCAACATCCCGCACGACTCAACAAACGGGACTGTCACGTGCGTCGAAGGGCCTCATTTCCGCCATTATGACCGCCTACAACACTCACTGCGCTCTAGAAGTCAGCCCGGACGACGTGTGGTTGACGATCCTCTCCCAGTTCTGCGCATACGTCAACAAGAACGCCGAAGGGTTGCGCGACAGGGTGGTTGGGCATGAGGGCAAGAAGAAGCTGACAGTGGAAGGGTACGGGTCGTTGGAAACGGCCGACTATGCGAAGTTGATCAAGGATCTCTTAGGACAAATCAGGCAGAACATCAAGTCCCCCGAGCTGGCGGACTGGTTCCGCCCTGGGTTCTCTACTTCTACGGAGACAGACGAGGTGTGCGCGGCGGCAACAGCTATGGCGAGCCTGCAGGCATACTTGGAGTATACAATGCGCCTCAAGTGCGGCATTCCGTCGGTGACCCTGATGGGCACAGTTGAGGACTGGAAGCTGCTGCGGGAGAAGATCGAGCGAATGCTTGAGTTCGAGGTGCTGGACAACCCGGAGGGCAAGGTGATGGAGGTGTGGGTGGGATACCTGAGGAAGGTGTGCGACGGGTTCGTGGAGTCGGCGGAGCACCCGGACAGCGCAGCGACGGTCGACTTCTGGGACAAGGTATTTGCGTTTATACAGTGGGATGGATTCACAACACATCGCTGGCGTCAAGAAACGTTGTTTGCTGCTGCAAGTGGATGTGTCGCGATGAAACGATGAGTTTTTTGGGTCCGACTGTTTCCTCCTCAGCGGGCAACACACCCTTGACTATGTTAACCCTCGGTTTCCAATACAGTACTGGGCCCGCTATGGTGCCGGCATGTGTCCAGAGACTACATCGGACAATTTAGAACAGTTTCTCAAAAGTGCCGATTCGGCACTATTGAGGATTAGAATATCCCTCATTTGTGCCGGTCCGGCACTTGAGGAGGTGTCTGATGTCATGGTGTGGCGCTCACGCTTTGCGGGGCTACTAGAGTACGAAATGGGTCGAAATTAGGGAAGTTCTGGCGTCGGCGTGGGCAGACTTTCTCGCAACACGTGTGGTGCCGCCCTGTCGAACACAGACTTTCCTGAAAAACAAATTCTAGCATGTTGCACAGTTATTTTCTGCCCGCCCCAGCACATGTACTGCACATCCTGAAATGTCGCGCGAACCAACCCTTCATATGCGGATGTACTATATAGTGAAATACCGCTCTGCCATTTTCCAGAGACATGCACCAGCAGCTGCCTAAGGTTCTGTGAGCAAGAAAACAGTGGCATTGGCCTCACATGGATCACACCATTTCGGCCACGCTCAACAGCACTAGTCGACGGCGAAAGGAAGACAACCAATATTCAGAAGAAGCACTAAGTCCTATCATTGATATGTAGTGGCATAGTCTACGTCTGGACTATGCGCCTCTCGGGAGGTACACTTACGCCCACTCTGATGGGTTCCTCTCAAAACCACGGTCCGCGTGAACTTGCTTCGATTGTGTTTTAAAGGTTCTCTCGCAAAGTGGGGGCTCGGGAGTAAACTACACGACAGGCTGGGTGTCCACCTTCTCGTGCTTCGACAAGGACGGCAACTTCATCGGGAAGAACACCGGCATGGGCGGGGAGTTCCCTCTCATTAGTTCCCTTTGCCACAATGTTGTCTCGTGCCCTGTTGTCATCGACGATAACGGGCATGAGTATGACGCTACCTTGTTTACTGGCCAGGTGGCCTTTAAGGCAGAGCGAGGCGCCGAGGGGGGGCATCCGACTATCCGCCCGCGCAACGACTGGTGTCTGGCCGTGGTAGAGAAATAGAGAGGTTGATCACATGTAGAGTGCGTTGATCTACATAGATGAGTTTCGTGAGAGGTCGTCGGTAGAGAAGAAGGAATCGAATGTTTGAGGTGTGAGCAATTGTTGCCACGCGTATGTAGTACGATTGATGGTGATACTGATAAACAGCATGTTTCAGAGTTTTGGGATTATCAGGGGTTCGCGCTGTGGCGAATGGCAAGCAACTAGTAGGAAGACGGATGTTGGCCAGGTAAAAACATATGCGTGGTGTATGACTCCGCATTGTAGTGTCCCGGAGTAGGTAACCCAACATCGTACGATAGGTGTGATAACTGGTGGGTAGACTGTCGCGAATTTTGAGAGGATGGGAGAATATCATTTGAGCATGACGTTCATGTTTACTTCTTGGGTGTGCTCATGCCGCGAGCTGATATCCGTACGCTGTAATCTGAGGCTCTGGATGGCGTGACGAAAACACCAGTAAATTGAGAGTGGTACTCCTCGTGTATTCATTGATATATTCGTCGAGAGTCGAGCGTGGTCGCCCCAGTGCCGAGCGGGACCCGTTCATACTGTACCGCGATATCCGCCGTTTCACTTGACGGTGATTGGTATACCTTCACTACAGTGCCCCGGCAGGCTCGTAAGAAGCGACCTCATAAGCATATTGGGACATCGACATGTGCAAAGGTGAGAAGAAGGTTGTACGAAATTGAAACCACTTGACGGACCACAGGAAGCTATGGAGAAACGAGAAATCGCACAATACAGACCCCCCATTGTTAAGCAACACGGGGATTTGTGGTCGGGCGTGAGGAAAAGAATTGCCTCCTGACCCCTTTCGTCGCAGCTCGCCAGCGAAGATGACCTCGACCCCGACGAGAAAATCCCAACGATGCAGCTTCCAGACGGGTTTTGTCTTGACGAGTCCTCTCCGGCGAAGCCAGAAATGGTTAAGCGTTGTTATATTTTTCAGGCGTGGCTTGTCGTGGTTCAAGAGGTGAAGATCAGTCCGGTGACTGCCCCACATACGAAAACTGCGTGGTGTTGGCAGTCGGCCAAGGAAAGCAGGGTGATGTTGCCTCTATGGATGCGTACAGAGGGTGCAAGAGGGGGGGGGTGGAGGGGTGGTAGGAACGGGAATCAAGCGATAGACGTTTGCGACGAGTCGGCGGCACGCCGACAGGGTGACAGGGAAGATCTGCCAAACGTCCACCAGGGGCTATGAGGACTGGTACAACACTTCGGGACCACTTACTTGACGATCGAATTTCGACGCGGGGGGCGGAACCTCATTTGTCCGCCCTCCTCCCGAAAGAGGATAGAGTAGTGTGTGCACCAAGGTTCTTGTGTGGTATGGCGACAGTCCCCCCATTTTTCGTGGTGAGACGTGTACTACACTTTTCAGTGTATGGAGAGTACTACACTTTTCAGTGTATTTTTCGTACGGCTACGACCATCCAGGGTTACACATGAGGGGGGTAAACACCAGGGATTTTTTCTTATTTTTGTTTTTTTTCGCGAGAAGGGTCCAGCGTCCCTTTCCCTCGTCAACGGTGCTAAATTCGAAGTTTTGATACTCACGAGAGCATTTTCTGCTGGCCTGTCCTACCGCCGTGTCTCAGTTCATCAGTACTACTCTCTCTCTCTCTCTCTCTCTCTCTCTCTCTCTCTCTCTCTCTCTCTCTCTCTCTCTCTCTCTCTCTCTCTCTTCCCCAAGAAAACAGCCCGGGGTTTCCCTTTCTACCGGTGTGGGGAACTCTTCCTACTGTGCGGAACATTTCAGACGACCAAGTCCCCAAATGATACTCTACCATTTACTCTACCCAATTCGAGGTCGTCATGAGAGTCTCACTATACGGTGGAACATCGTCTTTTCTTTATCGTTCCCCACACCGTGTTATATCCGGACTGTCTCGCCACTCCCCTTTCCTTATCGCCTAGCATACGAGACACCCTTCGCGAATCCTCCACATTTTTTACTGTGTATGGCTTGTACGCATCTGATTTCCTCCTCCCTGCCCTCTGGATTACTCGTTCCGAAACCTCCCCCCCGGCCGCCAGGGCGGAGCCCCCCTCAATCCGAAGGGAGTGCAGTGCGAAG